TTACAAGTAATGCTTTTACTTGTAACTTACTTTAAGTTATCGTACGGTGTGCGTGCAGAGTGCGTGAAGCCATCTCAAAGGTATTGATCGTAGCTTCAACAGCATGATCACAGGGACAACTATATCTTTCAACCGGAGCATATTGGGGTTTCGCCGGAAGTACAATACCATGCTTTCCGAATCAAAATGACGGAAAATTTTGCCAAAAATCCAAATAGAACCAATCATATCATTGTATTTTGTCCAAAGATGTTTGGCTTTGCTGTGCCATGACGTCACCATTGCGAAAAGACCCATTAGAAACGTCCGTTTATTCATCGATCGGGAAACTACTAAATACAATAGCAAGCGTATAGCAGTGAAAGATGCTTGCCGCAAAATAGGCAACCAAACGACTGCTTCGCAAATTGATACCAGACACAGGCAAGAATACAACATACTTTCTAGCAGTGAGATGAACCAAGGTAAATGGTCATAAAGCACGAGAGTGGTAAACCGAAAGAAAGGGTAAAAGCTAGCGGAAATAAATATGGCAAGGAGATCGGCATACGAAAACTGTGGTGATATTAACTCGCTCGGGGTGTAGCTCGCAGATCTCGAGCCTTCGAAAGATTTGCAAATCGCCGCCGTTCGAGACATCTGATAACTTGACGGTTAATCCGAGATCGCAAACGAGGTGGTACCCCATAAGATATCTGCCACTACTGCTCGTGCCATATTGCTTGCTAGATATAAGCAAAAGCCTGCTAGACAAGGACCACATAAGCAGTTAGCGACTCCTGTGGCGACTTATTTTTTTGCCTGTCCAGAAACGTTAACATGGAAGTTGAATTTCTCCTCCAATCGAGTTGAGGCGTTGATCCCGAAGACCCTGTGCTCACTGCCTTATACATTGCACAAATGCTTATGCTCGTATAGTTTTTCTCAAACTATCTACTCAGTCGAAAATTGTCTTTTGACATTTTATAGCTTGCGCTTTATATTTATGAAAGCCGGTAACATTAACGTACTTATATTTGGAAATTCATCTATGCTATTCTTATTTCAAGACTATTGTTTCATATTACAAAGTATAAATGTGGTACGGGTGTCTGATCGTCGGCTTGGATTTGTTCTGCTTTTCACATGGAATAAGGATGCTCTGACGTAGTAACGTTCTCTGTTTCGCACAGCCGCTAGAAAAACTAGTGACGGAGGCAAGCAACGAGCAACGTTACTCCAAACAATGGCCTGCACTCAAGTACCTAAGAAGCTAGGAGGAACTTGAATGAGAGGCCAAACGAGCAGTGGCGGCCTTACTATTTAGAACTCTGGACTAGGGGACTGGTGAGGGGTTAAGCAGGGGAAGTGAGAAAAACGAGTAAGAGGCCCCGAGAAAGAGAGTACTTTTCAGTGTACATAATTCCAATGCGTAGAGCCGGCCAAGGAGTGATGCTCATTGGTCGTCGCTTCTCTTTGAAACTTTATTGAAGCGTTTATGAAAGTTTGAAAAACACCATAGCCCTTTAAAGCCGACACGGCACTTTAGCAACTTCCATCGCTCTGCTACGTCAAGCAGTATTTCAAGCGTAAGTTATTGCGATCAAGGTTTGTATATAACCCTTGACAGTAGCGATTTTATTTTCGACCAGCTATTCCCTTGGCGTAGTTCTTTGAGCACGCTATGACGTACGCCATCCACATCGGGTATAATTATGGCGATGCAAACTCGAGAGTAGTCCCAAAACGGGAACTTTTACGGTTATACGTACGTATAACTGACTGCTCGTTGGCGATTCAAGGAGTGATTTTTGAAAACCTCCATAAATATCACATTAATTAAGCCCATTCGACGCATTACCGTCGAAAGTAATCAATGTTGCCGTAGCAAGCTGCCTGTCGAAATTTAGTACGTAACGAAGGTCCGGTTTTATCAAAACATAGGTTAGGTTAGGTAGGCCGTTATTTCACATATCTAACGAATGCAAAACTGGTCTGAGGCGCTTTCGACAAAAGGGATAGTGTATAAACTTGCTAGTATGATGCCATCATTTTGTTGATTTCGTCAAATATGGTCGTCACTCTAGTGGCTACAGATGAAGCCTAACGGTGGGTCTATTTCTTCGCCTTTTCACACTCTGCCTGCATTGAGCCGCAATACTATTAATTATGTTCATCTAATGGGCTAATATTTCTGCTCAATTTATCTATATCATAATGTTATAGCGCTTCGTCACACGGACGCTTAGACATAACTGTCTGTAAAACCCCAGGATCTTCAAGATACTTTTAATCAGGCAATCGCATCAACAACTTCAGTAATGAGAAGACCGTCTATCAAAACAGAGTAAAATATTTCACGCCTTATGGCACTTTCCAGTCAGCATAATGGTTTAAATATCGCATTTGCAGAGGGACTGTGCTCATGGATTCACGCACTGCCTGAGTCTTCCGGAACATAAGGACTGAGGATCAACGGATAGACATCATCGAGCTATGATGATGCTAGTAACAAGGTCATTGGCCTATGTCGGATCACAGAATTTTCTGCTGTAAAAATGTCTCATCCGTCTCACTAAGTTGCTTGTTGGGTAAAAGCACTCATAGTATAGCAACCGGCTTGTAATGGACGTATCGGTGGTAAGTCGAAGTTGTCGCTCATCAATCTTTCATATGGATTTGAGAAATTTCTTATATCGAACAACAGTTCGTGTAGTTGCCACTGGAAAAGCTGCTCATGTGGATAAGACGCGAAGGGCGGCTATAAAAATAGAGGGCGCGCAACATCGAATTAACGTACAACAGAAACAGACAGGCACGCCACATAGAAAGTATTGTTATAACAAAACTGACAGAGTGAACCACGAAAAACAGGATATCGCTAAATATATATACATATATATTTAGTGCCATAACACTGTGTTCAGTTGTATATGAGCTGAACCGATTTAATAAATGAACACGTATAATAGTTTACCGTCAATGGTATCGGTGTTCTCGTGGTTCATAGAAAAGGACCGGTAAATCTAGTTAGCCTATGTTAGGCGGAATCGGGACTTTTCAGCAGTTGATTTTTCAAACGGGGTGCGGATAGCAAATAGACATAAACATAAACGGCTGCGAATAGTAAACAGAGGCGAAAACAGCACAAAT